AAAATAAAACAATCCTAGCTGAAATACATTGATTGTGTTCAATATAAAAAGCAGCTTTACAACTGTTTTTTGTAAAATTCTTGAACTATGCATGGTGAATCAATTAACTATGTTTACATGGCACTCTTAGGTTGTGATCGAGTTGCTGCTACGAATACTTCGAAGCATTTTTTTATTAATCAATTAGTAAAATTCTTTCTTCCGATTGGTCAATCAAATGCTTCGAATCATTCGTAGTGGCAACTCGACCACACTCTTAATTAGGTTTAATAATATCTGTATTTATAAAATTAACCAATCAGTCATTCCATTCTTCACAGAAATAGCAATGATTCATCAGTTTCATAACTACAGATGTTATTAAATTCGATTAAGGATGCCGTGTAAAAGTAGTATATGATTGTTTTATACATTTATAGATCTACAAGGAATTAAAAGCAAAAATAAATCGTATTGAAGAATTTTACAATAGTTGCAAAACTGCTTTCTCTGCTGAATGCAGCCATTAATATTTTCATTCAATGTATATGCCCAAGTAGCACAGTAGCGCTTTGTTAATGCTTTGTAAGCGCTGTGTAATATTTGGGTGCAATAAATAAACATGCTTATAAAATAAATAAACAGTAAAAACATTTTATGTCGTTTCAGTCTCCTCTTCCTTTACAGAAATCAGAGCCAGTAATAATATATGATTCAATCAACACAAAACCTTTGACGGTTACGCCCAAATCAGGTTATTGCACTGATAAACCAGCCACCCTTAGCCCAAAAATGTGGGCAAAGTACAAGTATTTTGGGGTAAGTATACATAACGATAATTTTCAGCTGCAATTGGATTTTGAACATAAATTTACTTTACGTTTCATCTTGTTTACAGAAAACATTGCAAAAGGATATACCAGTATACTTGTCAACTGGCAGAAGAGACAAGATAATATTCGGGGCTATAGTTACATCCATCGGTTTTTGTACACTTAACTCAATTTATTTTGCTGTAAAGAACAGCTTTTTTGGTGACTAAGCGGATATTATGTAGATAATAAATTGTATAGACTCTTCTGGCATTGCGATTCTGTATTCACATTGCAAATGTTAATAATAGAAAAAAATAAAAAATAATTATATTGAATTAAAATGTATATTTATTAATATACTTTCTATCATCTTTATGCTTTCGATTGTTCAAAGTCTTGTATATGAAATTATAAAAGTAGATTTTGTGTAAGAGGAAACTTATGTTTTGATATGTTAATATTGTCTAATTTTTATCGTAAGGGAGATAATTTTTATAATAAAAACTGATGTATAAAAAAATCATAGTTAATCTAGTTTTTATCACGATGTAAGAAAATACTATAATTTTTATAATTCTGTTATACATAAAGATCTATTCTTTTTCAAAGAATTCTGAACTAGTTTTGAATTTAGTGCAATAAGTTAGAGTGAAACAAATTATATAATTGTCTTTAAACTAAAATATGTAAAATCTGGCTCGAGATTGCTAAGTAAAAATTAGTGATTAGAAAGGTTAAAAACACGAGCAACGTTTGTTGGATCTTTAAAATTAAACTAGTTTTTTATCTATAAATTAATCGAAAACATTTGTACTAATTTTCTTCTGAAGATGACTTTAATAATAGAATTTTAATTTTGAACTTTGCTTTTCCTCGCCATCCAACGACGAAATAGTTAAACTTGATATAAATAATATATTGATATGAATAAGATAATCTTAAAAATTTATTAATTTTATATAATTTTATTTGTAATGTTAAATTTATTGTGATACTTTCTTTCCAATTTTTAATTATTTTTCGTATATGGACTCGTATCTTATGGAAGAAGATTGAGGTAGTATGGTCGAAACGTTTCCAATTAATTTATAGATAAAAAAACTAGTTTAATTCTTAATGTATGTTGTAATAAACTAGTTTAATTTTCAAGATCCAATAAACGTTGCTCATGTTTTTTATTTTTCTAATTACTAATTTTTGTCTCACTCTTAACTTATTGCACTATTGCAGTTCAGAATATCGATTATGTATCTTTTTTCCTAGGGCAAAAATGTGAAATTTTTTTTTGTATGTATGTATATGTACATTTACACATAATAAATTTTTCATTTTTCACGTTTTCGCTTTAGGAAAAAAAGATATATAATCGATACCCTAAACTACTCTAAACTTACATGCACTTAGCGTCCTCTCGACAAGTATAGGAATAAAAGTCGTACAAGTTTTTCACTGGCAGAGCTGGTGCGCACTCAGTGCATTTTAAAGCCGTTGTACACAAATTGATGTAAAGATGTACGTTTTAATAAATATATAACGTTTAATAAATATAGTACATTTAAAAATATAGAAACGAATTAAACCGCAAAATCCCCAATACATTTTATTGTGTTATTTGATAAAATATACATCAAGTAATTTATTAATTGAAATATCTCACATTCAGATTAGATTAGTGTATAACAGCGTTAATGTGCACCGAGTGTCAGTTCTGTTAGTGAAAAATGCTATCAGATATCAATTTGAAGGTTATGTTTTCATATCATCTGCTAGAAAGCCGATAATAGTCAACAGAAGAGATATCAATGACAGCCTGTTAAAGTTAATCGTATGTCTCAGAATAAAATCGTGATAAGCGCTACATCACCATGGAAGATCAAGGAAAATCAATGATGGTGTTCCATCCGATTATCTCCTCTATACAGAAAATTGCCCTGTACGAGACAAAATCCGTGAGTTTTTAACTTTGACATTCTAACTTGCACCTAATTTGTCAAAGGTTTCAAGGTTTACACTTTTACAGCGGTTCTACCTGATGGGATCCAATAACACGTTAACGCGTTTTCGAGTCCTGAAAATCGACAGAATGGAACCAAGGGAATTGATCGTGGTGGACGACAAGAGGGAATATACTCAGGACGAAATAAAAGATCTTGTCAACATGATTGACGTAGGTAACCGAACACGAGCAGGACAGCGTAGCAACATGGGTGGTGTTGCACGTGTTGTATCCGCCTTTGGGATTGTTGGTAAGATTATTACACACGTTTCTTTTGCACTTCAATAAACACGAAGTTAATAATAACTGCATGCATAAGCTTTCGCATACGTATCAAAATATAGTTATTTATGTAGTCGTACACATTTTTATTTAAATGGTATATCTAGAACCTGTGATATATACACATTCCTTTCTCTCTCTCTCTCTCTCTCTCTCTCTCTCTCTCTCTCTATTATTCTAATATTAATAAAAATGTTGAAACTTAGGCTCCTCAATGTTACAAGCTTTGTCCTGATATGATAACTTTCCTATATACAGGATGTATCTGATCATCCGCAATCGAGATACACTATATAAGATTAAATGTTTTAACCCAAATCTATTAAACTTAATAATTTATTGATCGTAATTAATAAACCAAACAAATTTTTTAAAAATTATAACAAGTTTATAATATTAGACAAATTATTAGGCTTAATAGATTCGGGATAAAACGCTTAATCTTATGTGTTTTGATTGCAGATGATCAGCTACACTTGAATACACCCTGTATATCATATATATACATATATATAAAACTTGTTATAATTGTTACACGCTATTACTAATATTATTTATATCAGATACTAAAAGCACTTTATCGGAATTATTAATTGCGTTATACGAAACTTAGCTTATTTACATTTGCTTGCTAATAAAGGCAAAAATAGTAAAGAACCTGCACCTAGTTCGAGTATATCAGAGGAGCCTGAGCAACAAGAATTACAAAAACCACTGCATAAACCGACACAAACTAAATTTACCTGGACGAGTATGTGGCAGAGAGACACTTTCCCCAGGCTAATACCAGCTTTTGCTCTCCTTGGTAAGGCATAAAAGCTTTTTATTGACAAAGCCGAAGGTAGACATATATAATCATGATAAACAGAATAACTTTGTTGCAAAATAATATTAATAATTTAATTAGCATAAAATGAAATATTTTGAGTGTTAATTTTAAAGGAATACATGACAAAACATTGATTATACAACACAGAGTTATTCGATTAATGAATTGATATTTGATAGGCCAATATGCAATCAGTTAGAATAATAAACACTATATGATTAACAGAATTAATATTCGCAATCAGACATCATGGTACATCATGGTATGTACATATTTTCCCGCATGCATGGTGTGATATTTACTTATATATCATACTTCTCACATATAATGTAATTAGGCTAAATGCATGGATATCACATAACACGCAGATAATGGGCGCTACGTATTACAAACTAGTATGATTGTGTATAAAATATGCAAGCACATTCTCGATATCCAACTCTTTTTTTTTTAATGATTTAGAAATATAGCGAAAATATGAAGCATATCTAATAATAATTGACAATAATAATTATAGTGATAAGTTACAGACATATTTTAGAAAAAAATATTTGATGCAGGATTTATACGTTTTTTGGAAGGATATTATATAATCCTAGTTACAAAACGTCGCCGAATTGCAGTTATTGGTCATCATACAATATATAAAATAGAAGATACATCCATGATATACATACCAAATGATATTGTACGAATCTTCCATCCTGACGAACAGAGATATGTAAAAATGTTTCAAAGTATTGATCTCAGCAGTAACTTCTACTTCAGTTATTCATATGATATATCACGTACTTTTCAAAGTAATATGGCACCGCCAACGCGTATCAAATCTGATGTTCTCACTGACATGTCTACTAGCCAAAGGGAATCTGAAGAATCAGATAATTCTGAAGATTTTTTTAACATGTGGGCATTTAGGAAAGATTGGCAGACTGCACAGTATGTTATAGTATCTCAATGCTTAGTTTATATAATTTATTTAATTCGGGAGTAGTTACTTGATTTCTTTTACACGTAAACAATCATTTGGGATCTTATACTCAAATTAAAATTACTCTTATTAACAACATATTACAGGTATAGTTCATTTTAATCAATTTTCTCCGAAATTATTAATGATACAAAAAAAATGTTTCAGATAAAGTGGTCGATTTCGACAGAAACGTATTTTGGCCATGTTGTTTTTCTTCTAGGAGAGGCGTCAAAAAGATACGAAGATTACCTCTATTTTTTAAAATGAAATTATGATTTTTTTTTTGCATAGTATGATTCCTCTAATTATTCTGCATATAAAAATATTAAGGTAGAGATATCAAAAAAACTAATAGTTTATAAGATATTTTATACTTTATTTTGACATAAAATGTTAAATATCTATTAATTTTTTATTATATATCGTACTTTAATATTTTTATGTGTAAACAGAATAATGAAATGAATTAATTGATGTAAAAAACACAAACAATATAGTTGCTTATTTAAAAAAGCTATCTATTTTATCTACATTTTTTTGGGTCGACAGGAATGACAAACCAACTTCTTTACACCTCATTTGCAGCTGCATATCTGCACTCTATCAGACTCTACCATTATTATATTGATTTGTAGAAGAAATATTTTGCCATAAAACTCATTTTGACTTATATTTGAACTACGAAGCCTATTATAGAGCAGAATTTTAAATTTTCGCTCTTAAAAATATTATAATAAATAAAATATACTCCTTATTCGTGATACAGATACATATTTTCATGTTGATATTTGATCTCTTAGAAATAATACTATGTCATGAGACCTTTTCGGCTTCTTTTTTATGAAGCAGCGAAGGCGCGTAGAGTTTTGCAAATTGATTCTTGAAAAGTTATAAATAAAATTATGTGTAGCTCAAGTGTGTACTAGTACACATCGGGCGAGATATCAGAATAAATTTTTACTTTGTCTTTAAAAAAAATTTAGTCTGTATACGAGTCTTCAGATGATTTTCAAGATTACGGATATTGCAATTAAAACGTTATTTATGCAGTATTTTAGCCATAATTTTAGCATAAAATAATTCGTCTCCGACTAGAGATCTCCATAGTCTCTTCTGTCGATCCTTAAGCAATTACAAGTTTAACTCAATATCTCGTAAACGATTGATTTT